ACAAGCAAGCAGAAAAAAAAACAAAAACAAAGACACTGAAATAGAGAACAAGGGGACAGTGACCAGAGGGGAGAGGGAAGGGAATTTAAGGCGAAAAAGGGGGATGGATTTGGAGGAACAAATAGGAAGGACACAGGGACGAGAACTAAGGGGGGGTGGAAATGGGACGGAGGTGGGGAGCACGGGGTGGGGGCCGGCGGCTGGGAGGGGAGAAATGGACAAAAAAAGTGTACTTGAAAAACAACTAAATAAAATTTTAAGAAAGGGTAGTAATGGGTCTCAAATACTAAATAAAATATTTTGAAAATATCACATTTTCAGTCCACTCCAGTGTCTTTCCCCCTGCTTTCTGTCAATGCACACACAGAACTAACGAAAAAATGGATGCCAAGTGAGTCACAATCAGTTTACTAGATAAAAACTTCACATACAACAATTTTCAAAATGCTGCACATGGAAAGGTTCATGTTTTATTTTGTTGTCCATAGCACTGACCCCCTGGAAGATTTCAAAGGAATACAGGTAAGAATTTTAATTTAGATAAAAAAATGTAATAAAATACACTGGAAAAATATATAAAGACTATTCCTATTACCACAGACAACACATTTTAGGTTTTAAGATGAGGTATCAGTGACTATTACTGAGATACAATGCTAGCCAAAACATTTAATGAAACCTAGAATATGACACGTATAGCAGCATTTAGGATTTATGGGGTATTTCAAACTTACTGATAAGGCAAAATAAGTTCTGCAATATTCCACTAAATTTCTACCCAACTAGCATTAAAACAAGTTTTAATTGCTAGACTTGTGACCCTAACCCTTAAGTATTCCATAAAATGACCTCTACCAAATCATTTAAGAATGCTCCATAACTAGTGCTCAAAACCAAACCCTTCTCCCCTTTATCACTCATGTAAGTGCCCCATCTCAGTAAATGGTGCTACAACTTACTTGTCAACTTGTTCAAACGAATAGCTAACAGCATGTCTTGCATTCTCCCTTTTGCTCCCCTCTGTTCCCTCACTCTTCCACGATCTGATTGACTCTATTGCAACATACCCAAAAATCTGTGTACTTATCTTTATTAAGCACTAAGTTAATTCAAACTATATTCATATTCTATCTGAAACAACAGTATTCTAAGTGGTCACCTTTCGATATCCTTGCCTCTTCAGTTCGTGTTACTCACTGCCCATTCTTCACATAAAATTGTGTGAACCATCAATGAAAAGTAAAGACAATGACTTCCCATTACACTTAACATAAAAATTCAATTCAGGAAGTCTTATGTGTCCTGACCCTATCTACTCTGTTCACCTGCCCCCCATCCTTAAGGAAGGCACTCTGGACTTCTGTGAGTTCCATGCTCACATCTCTTCCCTTAGCTTTGTTTTATTCTGCCTAAGATCTTTGTACTCTAGCTGTTAGCTTCAACAGCGGCTCCTAAGAGAAGTGCTCCTTGACCATGTAATCTAAAGAACTATAATAATCCATGCAACACTCCATTCCATCTCCCACTACTCTCTCACATTACCTTGCTTTTCTTCTTTGTACTACTCACTGCCATTTAAAATTATCTTTTTCTCAACCCATCATGTGGCTACCCATCTAGAAAATAAATTCAGTAAGAACAGGGACTGTGTGTTTTACACTGTCCTATCTCCATCAAATGGAGAACCATCTAGCAGAAAGCAGACCAACATACTGCATATTCCCTTATATATGCTGAGAATTCACTTCATTTTACTGTTTCTATTTAATTCCTACTAGGCTTTCTTAAAAATCAAAGAAATCAAAGCATTTAAAAGCTTAGTTTTTACCCGATCCCTCAAAGATCTCAACGGAAGAATATTCTTTTAGAACAGGAATGAATTCCTAACAGGTCAAAAAGCAACAATTTTTGATGTCTTGAAAACCCAAAATGATCTATCTTGCTGTACCTAGAAAGCAGTACTCAAATAAAAGTACCTAAAATTTGGACTGGAGTTAAGTAATGATCTCAGATACAAGTGCCGAACACCCCAGAAACTATCTCTACCCCATCATGAATAGGATTAACCAAATGCCTATTTCCTCATTAACACATGGTTAACTACTCAACTTTATCTTATTCAAAACTTGGCAATATTATTTAAAAAATGCTTCCTTATGAATTAGTCAAAGGTTACCTGTAATATTTTTCAAATAAACATTAGTACTAAGGAACTATCAAAATATACCAAGTCAGTGATGAAAAACAATCCTCGAAGTTATGAAGAATATTAACACGTAAGTTAAAATTTATTTTCTTTAGTAAGCAATTAGTCTTTTACCAACAGAAACCAACAATCAAATCAAGATTTAATAACCACATCAAAAAAAATCTAATTTTGATCTCTAATTTCTCTAACTGAAATACTTCTTGCTGACATCTGAATTAGCAGTTAAGCCTTGAAGATACTAGTAAAACATGGCAACTATACAAAATATTATTCTCCAAAGAAGGCAACCCCCACACGACAGAACCCTAGAATAACAAGACCATTTGCTTGAGTGGTATATACAATAAAGCAGGAATCTGGCTGTCTGCTTTGGAAAAAATAAAACTTTTGTTGGAACACTGCCATATCTCTTTATTTACCTACGATCATCATGGCTACTTATGCACTACAATGGCAGATTGAATAGTTATTACCATAGATTTTCCAGCCTCAAGAGACTAAAGCATTTACTATCTCTCCTTTACCTTTTTTTCTCATATTATAAAGGGTACACTGGATACAGCTAAATAAAAATCTTAAATTAAGATGTTTTGGGGAGTTCTGGCCAACATGAAAGTATAGGTACAAACACTTTGCTTCCTCACACAAGCAAAAGAAGGATACAGACCAATTTAAAAACAAAGAAAATCCTAGAACTGCCAGGAAATCAAACTGCATGGAATTCTGACAACTAAGGAGATAAAGAAAGGCAGCAGACCACGTGGGCAAGGCAAGGTCTTGTGGACCAGTGGTCTCACATTAACATGCGGATAAGCTGGAGGATAAATGGGGTAGGGAGAGCAGCAAAGATAGACAGCGAAACACAGGATTTCAATGCAAGAAACTAAGGCTCAAAACCTCTGGCTATAAATTTCTGTGGGAGCTGAGAAGGCACACCAAACTCCAGCCTCACAGAACAGTCTGTTGCAGATGCCCACAGGGTCCTTAAACTTACACAAACCCACACAGCTGACTCAGCACCTGAAAGGCACTATCTGCCTGTAGCAAGTGAGGGAAGTTACTGTATAGAGGGGCAAGAATGGAGCAAGTGGCATTGTTTCATCTCTAACCCCTCTGCCACAACCCAGCAAAGAGGGTTGCCCCACCTTGGTGAATACCTATGGCCCCACAGCTTACAACATACCAGGTGCACCAAAAGTAAGAAATATGGTCCTAAAGAAAGACAAGATCAAAACTCCAGAAAAAGAATTAAGCAACAAGGAAACGGACAACCTACCAGATGTGGAGTTCACAACACTGGTAATCAGATGCTCACAGAAACAACTGAGCTTGGTTGCAAAATGAAGTAAGAAATGAAAGCTATACAAAGTCAAGTAAAGCAAAGTCTACAGGGAACCAACAGTGAAGGGAAGGAAACTGGGTCTCAAATCAGTGATTTGGAACAAAAGGAAGAAATGAACATTCAATCAGAACAGAACAAAGAAAGAATTTTTAAAAATAAGGAGAGGCTGAGGAATCTCTGGGACAATTTTAAAAGCTCCAACATCTGAATAACAGGGGTGCCAGAAAAAGAAGAGGAAGATAAGAAATTGAATACTCATTTGAACAAATGATGAAGAAAAACTTCCCAAATCTGGCAAAGGAAATACACTTCCAGGAAGTCCAGGAAGCTCAGAGTCCCAAAGAAGTTGGATCCAAGGAAGCACACGCCAAGGCACACTGTAATTAAATCACCCGACATTAAAAATTAGAAGAGAATCTTAAAAACAGCAGAAAAGGAGACAGTTACCTACAAAGGAATTCCCACCAGACTGCCAGCTGACTTCTCAAAAGAAACCTTGCAGACAAGAAGAGGCTGGAAAGAAGAATTTGTAGTCATGAAAGGCAAAGACCGACACTTAACGTGACTCCACCCAGCAAAGCTATCATTTAAAAGGGGAGGGCAGATAAAGTGCTTCCCAAATAAGGTCAAGTTAAATGAGTTCACCATCACCAAGCCCCATTATTATATAAAATGTTAAAGGGACTTATCCCAGCCATAGAAGAGCAAAAACTATGAACAGTGAAATAACAAACTTAGAGCTATCAAACTGGACCTAAAAACAAAAACAAAGAAAGCAAATAAGGAGAACAGGAACAGAATTCACAGAAATGAAGATCACATAGGGTTATCAGTGGGTGTGGGTGAGGGAGAATGGGGGAAAATGGCACAGGGAATAAGCAGCATATATGGGAACCTGGCTGGTATAGACTGAGTGCCGGCCTGAGAGTTGCCAACAATTCCCAGTCAGGGTATGTGCCTGGGTTGCAGGCCAGGTCCCCACTAGGGGGCATTCGAGAGGCAACCACAAACTGATGTTTCGCTCCCTCTCTTTCTCTCTCCTGTCCCCTCTCTCTAAATATAAAAAAGTCTCAAAGATAAAGAAGCATATGACATGACATGACATGACATGACATGAACATGAACTAAGGCTGGGATGATGCTGGAGGGTGGGGCGTGCAAGACTGAGAGGAATGAAGGGGAGAACAAAATTTGGACAACTGTAATAGCCTAATCAATAAAAAATAAGTTTAAAAATGACAGTTTTCCCTGACATTTAATGGACCTCATTCAACTCAAATAAAGCATCAGAAGAAAACTCTGCTATATGTCTGTCCTAAAAAAGTACAATTTTTTTCCTAAATGCAAACAAAGAGTCAAACCTATTGCAAACCTACAGCTTCAAATCCATCACACACCATATATGCACACGGTACACAATGTATTTAGGTTCCCATGACAGGAATTTACCTCTCTTTCCCTCTTCTCCTGCAGCTTCTGCTCCTTATGTTCTCTTTCTCTTCTCTGATATTCCTCCCATTCTTCCCTTAACTTTTTCTTTAAAGGACAAAATAAAAGAAGAGAAAGGGAAATTTTCCAGAGTTAGTTTTTAAAAACATTTAACGTATGGGACAAACAAATAAAAATGTAAATACAAGGATTACACAGAGAATACCAGCTTTAAAGTTTTCTTGTTCAAGATATGTATTTCTTAATGTGAAAAACATTTTACATTTTATTTATATACTTATTTTAGTTAACTAATTTGTGGGTGATTCATTTGACAGAGTTTACCTCTTGTTCTTCTTGCCACCTTCTAGCTGCCTCTTCCTTCTCCTTCTTTACTCTGAATTCTTCTTGTGCCTTCTGTTCCCTCAACAACCATTGTTCATGTAAGCTTTGCCTATTGGAATAATGACATAATAAAATACAAGAACATTCTATAAATAAAAAGACTATATATATATATATATATATATATATATATATCTACACTTACAATACATTTATGATAGCAAAGGACATAATTAAGGATGATTCAATTTCACAAGATATTTCACATGGCTTTAAGTAGAAATACAAGGATTTATAAAAAACTAGAGGGGGTGGAAATGGGAGGGAGGGAGGGCCGGGTGGGTGGGCTGGGATGGGAGTAGAAGACAGAAAACTGTACTTGAACAACAATGTAAAAAAAGCATTTACAAGATTCTTTGTAAGTAGACATTTTGGAAAAGAACTGTACTTCAACAACTATCTGCTTAAAATAAAAGGTAACAAAAAGGTTAGTCACTGCTTCCACATTTGTGAAACTTCTCACATTAAAACA